CCAAGTTGAGAGTTGTAACATTTGAAAGCTACATAAAATATTTGAAATGTACTCTCCAATGGCTACATCTAACTACATGCAGATGTATGTAACTATACTAACTGTAACTACAGCTATCACAACCAGCAGCAAGCAAGCACCCTGAGCTTGGTGTATATTTCTCTGTTGCGTATTTCTCAATGAAAGCATTCCAGTTGCTATTTCAGAGCAGCAGAGGACAGATTCTTTCCCTGCTTCTCTGCAGATCAGAGGAGAAAAGAGGAAAATGGAATACAGTCCAAGTCCTGAAGTCAGCAGATCCCCCCAGCGTACAGAGGGAAGGAGGTTGAAATAAGAAGCTGTTTTTTTTTCCATAGCCATCCTTCAGATCACTAATGGCTACAAGTAGGAGAAAGCACTTCCATTTCCTGTAAGGAACTAGCAGTACAACGTTCAGAGCTGGCATGTTTAGAAACTTGTTCCCCACACATGCAAGAGGACGTACAATCACCCTGGAAAGAAGGCACTGTGTTATCAACATCTGCACTGCTGCCAGCTGCACTTACAACAGGGAACAGATACCAAGCATCTCCCCCTGATTCTAGCACTGAGGCCAAGAAGCACTATGAGGATGCATCCAACACACCCTTGTAGCCACTCAGTTTCTACTGCAGTACTTTGTCTTGGCAATGTCATGTTCTTGGCTCACAACACACAGCACAGGTCAGGCCCCTTCCTCTACACAGCGTTTAGCTTTTTAGCTTTCCTGCTCAGATTGCCTGAATCGTTAATCAGTTACACTTCCTTCCTTCTGCAAAATCACACCAATTCATTTGCTAATCCACCACGGTGGGTTGTAGATAGTCATCTTCACAGTCACCTTCGTGCATTCATTTCAGAATTACCCTTTTCAACAAGAGGTTAAGCCGCTCTTCATAGACTTTATATAGTGCCTAGTCTGTACACCTCTTCCCTTCGCAATCAGTGAACATCCACGTTTCCTGTTTGAAATCATTTCTTTCCTACCTGCCCCCACCCCCCAAATCACAAGGTACTCTTTTCATGAGATACTTTTAACAAAAGCAAAGAATCAAATCAACCTTACTGCATTCTCATGGTATGCTAAAATAGCCCAAATGCACTAAAATGCCAGTGACCTCATCTTCCTTGAGAGCATTCATCTCAGGTAGAACTGTTATAGACTGCAAGAGGCCAAGGAAACTAAGCATCTTCCTCTGGAAAGTCAGCCAGACACTGAGAGTATAAATGGCATTTCTTACCACTCCTTTCCCCTTAGGTTGATCTTTACCTATCAACACTTGGAAGGAAAAAAAAAAAAAAGCAAAATTTAGGTTAAAAATGAAGGAATGGAAAAGCTGTCCTCAAATCCTCGCAGATTTTCAAACTGATTCATTCAGAAAAGGAGAGCCAGATAGCAGCTACCTGCACACCAAATAGTTAACACATGGGAACAGCAATGGGGTCACAGAAGGCAAGCAGCTCTTCAGCATCTGCCATCTTCAGTGCAAACTGCAGGTGTAACACTGGCAGTTGTGTTCAGCACACAGATTGCTATCTGGAGAACAAAACTACTGAATCTCTGCGTAGTGGAATATACTTTTTATTTCTTAAAAAGGAAGGGTACTAACAGAATTTAATACAGTCAAAATTTTACATTTTAAACAAAAGCTTTTATTTTTCTTAAAAACCAGTTATGAGCAGAGAGGTGAGAGGATTGAAACTACTCACAGAATCCAAGCTGAAGACTTTGAGAATTCAAATCTGTGGTTTATACAATTTAAAAAGTGTAATAAATGGAAATATAAAATAATACCAACTCTGCAACAGTGAAATGCCCTTTCTTTGTTTGATTGCTGTTTAAGCACCTTTATTTTCTTCTAACAGCTGCCAAGAGTGTGTAGGTTTATGTACAAAATAAGTAGTTTGGGACAAAAGATTCATATATGAATTAAAACCATTTATGGCGATCCAGCTTTACCCAGCCACAATACAATCTTTATTATTTCCTTTGTTTCTATAGAATCTCTCAGCCAGAATGATCTCAATTTGATTTCATGGGCTGCTCTGAAAAGCAGCTACATTTATAGGAATTATTTAGATAACCTTCAGGAGTAGGCATCCAAGAGATTAGACAAGTTAACATGTAGTAAAACTAAGGTTCATTTGTCTCTCATATAAATACTGCGCAGATTTATCATCCATCCCATTGAACTGCTGGGACAGATCAGTGCCACGTCTGAAGCCAAATAAAATATTTTTATCCAAGAGGAAACAGAATTTTAGGCCAAATATAGCAGACTGGAGTTCCCTCTGACTTTTTATTTGAGTCTGAATGCCTTTGAAAAAGTCTTATAGGAACAGAAATTTCTGAACACCCTGCACATATGCTTAGCTATTTTATAGCCTAGAGACACGGGTGGGGGAAGGGAGCGGGGAAGAAGAGATCATCTGTACTCACTAGAAAAGATGCTGTAGCTTTGTTGTTTATGGAACACCACAGAAGCAGCTGATACCAGATAAAGTCCGTTCCAGTACAGCATTGAAGACAAAGAAGTTATGTTATGGCTGGAGAGGCTGTTATCACAGGCTGATCTCCTACTGAAGACTGACAGACCAGTCTCCACATCTCAAAGCGTTGGTGTTTCCTAACGGACTGCTTGTGATTAGAATCATTAAGGTTGGGAGGCACCTGTAAAATCATTCAGTCCAACCATCAACCCAGCTTGCTCCACTGTTCCTCTTTTAACAAAAGATAGAACAGGTCATGAAAGCTGATGGGTGTTCCAGCTGTGCAGCATCCAGCACAACTTCAACTCGTTAATTGCTCTCCCTCTCTAAAACCAAGACAGGGTACTCGTGTCATCTATGTACGTAACGCATCTAATAGAGATGTAGGCTATCCAGGATACAAATGAGCTTCAGTAAGTCACTCACTGTTTCATTGCAACTTGCTGCAGTCTGGCTGAAGGGTGGAGGCAGATCTGTTCAAGCTGAAAGAGGGAACAGTTAAAAAAACAAACAAACCAACCAACCAAACCCTTTCGGTTTCCTCAATCACTCAGTGTTATGAATCATTTAACACTGCCACTTTCCAAATGCTACTCACGCACAACAAAATTAATTGCTCAGCTAATGGGGTGGGAAGAATACAGTTACTGGTGCCATGGGTGACTACCCTTAAAGAAAGACTGGAAGAGAATCAGTTCCCTCAAATTCTCAGTTTCTCTGCCTAAGTAGCTCATTTATTTATTATTTTTTTTTAAACACATTTTGTCTTGATAGAAAGCATCACAACTAGACTAGAATTCCACAACATCGATCTTGGTTTTGATTTCTGTAGTTCTCTAGGAAAAAAATAGAATCGTCCCAAATCAAGCTACACAAAGCATTAACAATATCCAGGAATTACAATGGAAGCACTTATTTATTACTTCATAGAACAGATCAGTTTTAAAAGTGTATTTACACGTCCTAAGTTATACAAAATACAGTATTTCAATAGTCATGTTAATCACCATATTTGAGACAACTTCACATAAAAGTGCAGAGGATGCATCCTTCCACGATCCTGGCCAGCAGCAAGCGGTCGCCTGCAGCGTGACGGACCAGAGCTGCTCTTGTGCTCCCTGGGGAAAACAAAGGCCGCCATCCCTTCTCACCGAGACACAGCTGCAGATCTAAGGAAACATTCAGGCAGGTACACGAGCAAAGTTTGTTGAGACCCACAGACCAAAATCACATGCCTTAATTTACTAGATGGATGTGAAGTACTTTTTTTTTTTTTTTTTTTTTTTTTTTTTTTTTTTTTTTT